GCCGTCTCCTCTCAGGCAGGCACCCAAAGCTCCACAGAGCAGATATGCTTGCAGTTTTCTGAGGAAAGACACACAGGAGATGAACTCAGCATCTTGCAAGTCTTACAGTACATTTTCTGTGTCCTCCTAATTTATATTCTGCCTGGGCTCAGACTTCTAAGCTGGAAAATCACTTTCCTCTAAAATGTTGGAGGTGTTGCTCTACTTCTCCCAGACGGAGGTGATGTCTGAAGCTGCTGCAGTTCTGAAACCAGCTTTGTTTTATCTGGGGAGGTAGGATTTCCCCTGTCCCTGGTCCTGCTGTCTGTTCACTCCACAAACTTACTGCAGGTTCTGGAAGATTTTCCTGAATCATATCTTTGCTTAACTCTTGCCCACTGTCTAGTCTATATTCTAGAATTCTTTTTTTTTTTTTAACGTGGACCATTTTTGAAGTCTTTATTGGGTCTATTACAACACGCTTCTGTTTTGTGGCTTTGCCCTTTGGTCATGAGGCATGTGGGATTTTACTTGCCCAACCTGGGCTGGAACCGGCAACCCCTGGTTGACAGCATGGAGTCTCAACCAGGGGACCATCAGGGAAGTCCTGAATTCTTACCGATGTCTAACAGCGATTTTCTTAGTTTCTCTCTCATTTTTCTATCCTCTGGGGGACTTTCTGCAACCTTACGTTCCGACACTTGTGTTTCTCATCTCAGCCCTTTAACTTGCAAGGTCTTTGCTCTAAATGCCGTGAAAGGCCAGATCTTGTTTATGTTTCAAGGGCACAGTCTATCTCTCTGAGGACAGTTTTAATGGCTTTTCTGACTTTGTCTCTCTCTACATCATCTTTGTCCTACAAGCTTCATCTCCTCACTTGTGTTTTGTCCTCTGTCTTTGTGGCAGCTGCCAGGACGGCGTCTCTGTGTCTGGTCGTGGAGGTTCAGTCTCTGTCGTGTAGCCATGGGCTTTTTCGGAAGCCCAGCAAACTTGGCCGTGGTCTCCTCACTAAGAGTGGGCGCTGAAGAGCTGTGAGCACAGCTCAGACATGCTGGCCTCACCCAGGGGAGTTGCCAGAACCCCCGCCTCTGAGCCAAGCTCCCCAGAGGAGTACAAGGCATGTCCACTCCCCTAAGGGGACCAGGGCCCACGCTGCGTGCCCAGGGGGGCTGGGGTCTCAGCAGAAGGTAGACACTTGCCCACCCCAGCCCTGCCTCCACTTCCAGGCAGAGAAGGGACGTCTAGCCCCCTCTGCCAGGGTAAGGAGCTGTCTCCTTCTGGATCGGCTGCTAGTCAGTCCTTGAAAGCTTAGCCCACCTCCTGTCTTCAGCCAACTCCACCCCCGCCTCACGCCGCCAACCCCACAACTGACTGACACTTGGCTCTGCCTGCTGCGGGCTGGGGCCACTCCTGCTCCCCCCCTCCACCAGGTCAGGGCTGTGTGGCCCTGCTGCCCCCAAATCCTGCCATTTCCTCTGATGTGATTGCTATTCCTGTTGCCTGCCTTTATAAATAAAGCCCCCTCGGGGCTTCCCTGGTGGCTCAGATGGTAAAGAATCTGCCTGTAATACTGGAGACCTGGGTTCAATCCCTGGGTCGGGAAGATCCCCTGGAGGAGAGCATGCAACCCACTCCAGTATCCTTGCCTGGAGAATCCCATGGACAGAGGAGCCTGGCGGGCTATGGTCCATGGGTCGCAGAGTCGCACACGAGTGAGCGACTTCACTTTCACTTTTTCACTTACTCGTCTGTGAATGGGTATGGCAGGAAGCGCCTAAGACGCTGCGCACTCAATCTCTATTTACTGATCTGAACATCTTTGGGGGGCATTTATTGGCATCCTCTCTCTACCCCCACTTTCTGTGACTTTTTTAAGGTTCTTTTCCCATTTCTCCATGGAGTTGTTTCTCATTATTTCAATACTGTAATAAGACGCTTGCTCCTTGGAAGAAAAGTTATGACAAACCTAGACAGCATATTAAAAAGCAGAGACATTACTTTGCCAACAAAGGTCCATCTAGTCAAAGCTATGGTTTTTCTAGTAGTCATGTACGGATGTGAGAGTTGGACGATAAAGAAAGCTGAGTGCTGAAGAATTGATGCTTTTGAACTGTGTTGTTGGAGAAGACTTGAGAATCCCTTGGACTGCAAGGAGATCCAACCAGTCCATCCTAAAGGAAATCAGTCCTGAATATACATTGGAAGAACTGATGCTAAAGCTGAAATACTTTGGCCACCTGATGCGAAGAAGTGACTCATTGGAAAAGACCCTGATGCTGAGTGAGACTGAAGGCGGGAGGAAAAGGGGACGTCAGAGGATGAGACGGTTGGATGGCATCACTGACTCGATGGACATGAGTTTGGGTAAACTCCGGGAGTTGGTGATGGGCAGGGAGGCCTGGCGCGCTGCGGTCCGTGAGGTGGCAGAGAGTCAGACACGACTGAGCGACTGAACTGAGTAAGACCTTCTCCCAAGACGGCACAGTTTCTGTCTGCCCTGTCTTGCTAGTCGGGGACCATTCTCTCTGGTGATTCGAGGTGCTCAGTGTCCCCCACCCTCTGTGCAGTGGGTTGTCCCCCTTGCTCTGGGCACAGAAGCCGTGTCCAGGTCCAGGCAGGTCTCATGTGCAAAGCATCACATGGGTCCGTCTGGGGCACCAGCTGTGCTCCCCCTGACTCTGCTCTTGCGTGCCCAGCCTCTGTGGTCTCTGGCATCCGTGGAAGCCTCACTTACACCCCGGTATCCCCACCAGGGTCTGGTTCACGATCCAAACTCTTCTCCGCACCCTGACCTCGTCTCTGAAGGTGTGTGGGCCCAGCCACACTGCATTCACTCCCTGGTCACCTCCACCTTGAAGGGCAGCGGACTGCTCGCTCTCCCAGCCCCTCTGCCAGTCCCCCCCTGCCGCCCCCGCCCCACCAAGGCTGTTCTCATGGAGCCGCCATGCTACTGGGGCAGGAAGGAGCACAGGTCTCCTCTCCCTCGGAAGCATCCTGGAAGGAAACAAGGCCCAGTCGCATTTTTCTCTCTGAGTTTTTTTTTTGCATAGCCTCTGAAGTCTGTCTACTCTTAGGAAGGCAGGCATGTAGGAATGTGTATCGGTCATCTATTACAAAACAATGCTGTGTAACAAAAAGACCCCCAGTTGCATACAGTGAACCTGACTTTGCCTTGAAGCCACACTACACACCCCCGCCCCCAAGTTGCAGCTCATGTGATGCCCCAGGTTTGCTCCTCACCCCCTGCCTGACCCTTCCTTCTCCTGCAGCCTCCGTCTCCTCCATAGGTAGGAGCCGGGACACTGGGCGGGCCACATCCAGAATGGGGGTGGCCGCCTCCCCGGAAGGAGCCATGTAGACCCTCAAGACCCCCAACAGCCCCTAGAGGAAATCCTCTTGCCTCTAGCTGCCTCTGGGGCAGACGCGGGGCCAGCCTGCCGTGTCCATACCCACGCCGGGAACTCCCTCTAACTGACCCCGCCGGCTGGCATGTGGGGGCCCCCTGCGTCGTTGCCCCCTGGCTGGAGTTCTCCCCAACTTGGGGTTCCACCTGGGCACCCTTCATCCACCTTCTCTAGATGGGGCACCCCCGTCCAGCTGCCTCAGAGCATTCCATCTGGGCCCCCAAACCACCCTCCAGCCCAGAACTCTGCCCTCTTCCCCATGCCCCCAGTGGGGACCCTCAGCCCAAACCCCATGGCCCCCACCGCCCCCGCGGCCCCTTCCAGGCCCACCACAGCCGCTTCCAGCTCTGATCAATCCCTGGCCACCCGCCCCAACCAAGCGACACCCTCGTGCTGCCCAAGGGAACTGTGGTTGGCCAGACACTTAGGTTTCGGTTTTTACTTTTTTAAAGGGCCTCAGATGTCAGTTGCTCACTGGAGCTTAGGGCCCGGCCTGTTCCCAAGGACCCACGTTGGGCCCCCACGTATCATATGTCCTCACTTTCCTCTTTGCCCTCTGCCCTTCAACCCCGCTGCCCACACTCCGGCCCCTCTCCAGCCGTCCTCACTGCTCTGTACACCTGTGTTTTTAGATTCTATAAACCACATGCTCTAATAACTCTGCTCTCTGTCCACCACCACGGCGTGTACGATCTTCCCACCCAGCTGCGTACATTTGGTTCTCGGCTCCACACTGCTCTGCAGGTCAGTGCAGCCACGACCTGGGCGGAGCCAGTGGGCAGGGAGGCAGCAGGTCCAGTCCCCACCTGATGCAGGAGTGGCTACAGGTCTGGGATCGGCCGCGGGGGCGGGCCAGGGAACATGGCGGCTGCAGGGACAAGCTAAAGGCACGGACGAGCTGCTGGGAGGCCCGTCTAGGTGGACGTGGCGGCCAGGAGGAACAAGGCAGGAGGGATGGTGAAGATGTGGCCGGCCCAGCGGCAGAGCCGTGAGAAATGGGGGCGAGGGCCAGGCCAGAGAGAGTAGCGAGGGTTGGTCCACGGGAACGTCCAGGGAAGTAGCGGTGCAGGCAGGGAGTCCGGGGACCCGGGGGGGAAATCGGCCACCGCTGGCGAGGACCGCGGGCAGCACTGGGGAGAGGGTCCTCTGTGGGGCTGTGTTTCAGGGAACTGACGTGCATCCCTGGGGAGGGTCCGAGAGGTCTGCAGGCTTTTCTGATGGGCATGGCGTGGGGAGAGGGCAGTTGGCTGCTGTCGGGGGTGGGGCCCGCTGTAGCTAAGGGGCGGGCATCCTGGGCCCCCCGCCACCCCAGACAGGAAGCTGCCCTGGTGCGCCGGCCTCAGGTGGGCTCACGGCGGTGGAAACTGGCTCTGACAGTTACCGGAGCCTGGAAGCGAGTGCTTCTTCCTGCACAGAAACACGGGTGTGTTTGCACGGCTGAAACTGCGCTGAACACGGCGGGGGTGCCCTCCGGCCTCCACCGCCTGTATTTCTAAAGGAAAGGGCTCCAACCTTACCCTACGATCCTAACTTCTCCACGACGTCACCCGTCCTGGGACGCCACCCAGGTGTCGACGACGTGATGACGCATATCCTCGCCTGCATACACAAGGATACGGAGCGCTGAGAGACACGGATTGAAGTGATAATTGGTGATTTTTAAAACCTTTTGAAATCACAGACTCCCAGGAAGTTGCAGAGACGGAGCGGAGAGGCCGGGGTGGCGCGAGTCGGGACTTTGCGCACGGCTTCCGGATGCGTGAGGCTGGGGCCCCCTGGGTGCCGGGCGGGGTGGCTGTCTGCGCTCCCCTCTCGGCGGGCCTGGGGCTGAAGGAGGGGCAGCGGAGGCCGCCCCCGTGGCGAAGCGAGAACCGACCCCCGCCCCGCCCCCGCCCCGCCCCCGGCCCCTGCTGACGGGCCGGGCCGTGTGGGCTCCAGGCTGTTTTCCTGGGCCGCCTCCTCCAGGGCCTCTGCCCGGAGATGGCGGCTTTTCTGACAGCTTCCTGGGTCTGCCCGCCCCGTCCGCATCTCTGGGGGCGCGCCTTTCTCAGAGCGGGTCTGGTGTCCACGAGGGAGCCCACCGCCATGCGGTTCTCAGCCCGGGGCCTTGCCCACGTGCCTCCTCCCCACGGTTCAGGGCCGCCCTGTCTGTCTGCGTGTCTGTGTGGCTTCCAGGCCGCTGCCCTGTCCCCGCTTCAGCAGGACCGCCGCCGGGCGGGTTCTGAGGGGAACCGGGGGTGGTAAGCGGAGTGGCCGGCATCTGTCCTGCTCACAGTCTGACTGGACATGCACCGTCTCCTCCGTCCTCATCAGAGGTGTCTGAACCACCCTCAGGGCCAGCTCTCCATTTGTGAAGATCGAACGATGACACCTGTCGGCAGCACTGTTTCCGTGGCTGTCCGGATGTCCTTCTCGTCGCTGCCCCAGGTTCATATTCCTCTGTGCCCCAGTTTCCCGACCTGGACACTGAGCTCTTTTCCTCCCGACACCCCCGGTTTCTGATCAGTGTCTCAACCTCGGGGCACCCTTCTGCCGTATCCTGTAACTTTGTATGTAGAGTGTTATCCTTTAATTCTAAGAATTTCAAGATTTGCGTTAATTCAAAGAGTGATTTAGGAGTATGCAATTTCATTCCCAGGAGTGGAAAGCTAACCCTTTATTTCAGAGTTGCAAATGTACCGCGAGGTTCAGAGGTTTCTTTCTGTTGAGGATGATAAGTCTCATCACGTGAGTGGAGGGCAGGGGCTTCCTTCTGTTCTTTCTGTTGATTTTCAGGCTTTTAATTCTGGAGAATTGTGGTCACTGTTTCTTCAAATATTCCTTCTCCATCAGCTGTGTTCCTTCTGAGCCCTGAGAGGCAGCCTGAGCCTAGCCTTCACCCCGTGCTTCCCATCCTTACAGCTCACCTGATGCCTCCGCTGGGGCCCTGCCCCTCCTGATCAACGTCGCTCCTTTTTAGTTCAGTTCAGTAGCTCAGTCGTGTCCAACTCTTTGTGACCCCATGGACTGCAGCACGCTAGGCTTCCCTGTCCATCACCAACTCCGGGAACTTGCTCAAACTCATGTCCATTGAGTCCGTGATGCCATCCAACTATCTCATCCTCTGTCGCCCCCTTCTCCTCCTGCCTTCAATCTTTCCCAGCATCAGGGTCTTTTCCAGTGAGTCAGTTCTTCTCATCAGGTGGCCAAAGGATTGGAGTTTCAGCTTCAGCATCAGTCCTTCCAATGAACACTCAGGACTGATTTCCTTTAGGATGAACTGGTTTGATCTACTTGTAATCCAAGGAACTCTGAAGAGTCTTCTCCAACACCACAGCTCAAAAGCATCAATTCATTGGCACTCAGCTTTCTTTATAGTCCAGCTCTCTCATCCATACATGACTACTGGAAACACCATAGCTTTGACTAGATGGACCTTTGTTGGCAAAGTAATGTCTCTGCTTTTTAATATGCTGTCTAGGTTGGTCTAATATGCTGTCTAGGTTGGTCATAGCTTTTCTTGCAAGGAGCAAGCATCTTTTAATTTCATGGCTGCAGTCATAATCTGCAGTGATTATGGAGCCCCCCAAAATAAAGTCTGTCACTGTTTCCATTGTTTCCCCATCTATTTGCCATGAAGTGATGGGACCGGATGCCATGATCTTAGTTTTTTGAATGTTGAGTTTTAAGCCAACTTTTTCACTCTCCTCTTTCACTTTCATCAAGAGGCTCAGACTGGCCAGACAGAATGGCCATCATCAAAAAACCCACAAACAATAATTTCTGGAGAGAGTGTGGAGAAAAATGGACCCTCTTGTACTGTTGGTGGGAATGTAAATTGGTACAGCCACTATGGAAGACAGTATGGAGATTCCTTTAAAATCTAGGAATAAAACTACCACATGACCCAGGAATCCTACTACTAGGCATATACTCTGTTGTTGTTCAGCCACCAAGTTGTGTCCAAGTCTTTGTGACCCCATGGACTGCAGCATGACAGGCCTCCCTGAGGAAAACCAAAATTGAAAAAGACACATGTACCCCAATGTTCATTGCAGCACTATTTACAATAGCTGGGACATAGCAACCTAGATGTGCATCGACAGATTAATGGATTAAAAAAAGCTGTGGTACATATACAAAGGAATATTACTCAGCCATAAAAATGAACACATCTGAGTCAGTTCTAACAAGGTGGATAAACCTAGAGACTTTTATACAGAGTGAAGTCAGAAAGAAACAAATATCGTATATTAATGTATATGTATGGAATCTAGAGATGGTACTGATGAATATTTGCAGGGCAGCAGTGGGGATAGAGAACAAACTTACAGACATGGCTGGGGGGAAGGAAGGAGAGGCTGGGACAGATGGAGAGAGTGGAATGGAAGCTTACACTACCGTATGTAAAATAAGACAGTCGGTGGGAATGTGCTGTGACTCAGGGAACTCAAGTCAGAGAACTGTGACAACCCAGAGGGTGGGAGGGAGGTTCAGGAGGGAGGGGACACATGTATACCGCGGCTGATTCATGTTGATGTCTGGCAGAAAGCAACACAATATTGTAAAGCAATTATCCTTCAACAAAAAATAAGTTTTTTTAAAAAGTAAATACACTGGAAACACTCTCCTTAAATCCAAGATAAACGCTCTTCTGCCAATGACTCAGTCCTGCATTGATCGTGAAGACATCATGTCCCCTTTCAGACCAACAGAGCCTGGGTGGGGATGATAACCGGCCAGAGTCCTGGGCGAGGATGGTGACCATGGGTTTGAAGCCTGGTTCTGGCACTTCCTGGCATGTGAGTGAGCAGGTCCTGATCCTTCTGGGCCTTGGTTTCCCACCTGACTTCCTGACCCACATAAAGCTCTGCAGAGGGTGCTGATCCAAGTCAGTTGTGACCCTCAGGTTCCTCCAGCGCCTGCCCTGGCCAACACCGAGCGCCTCAGCGCACAGTCAGACCACCGGGAGCATCAGCCGCTCAGCAGAAGTGCTCGCACTGTCCACCCTGTAGTGCCCTGTGGCCTAAGTTGGTCGAAGCCTCGACACGCGCGTGAAGACCTCAACACACACACATCAGTGTCCTAGCCCTGAGCCTGTGGTGACCCAGCCGACCCCCCGTGGGCCTGTCTGCTCACTGAGTGGCCCCGTGAGCCACATTCTCTGTGCTGGAGATGAGCAACGAGACAGCGTGCTGGCGGGCATGCCTCCAGAGGCTGCTGGGGCAGCAGGACCCAGGCCCCCAATGCCCACATCGCAGCGAACGGTGACCGGCAGGCAGTCGAGCTGGGAGCTCCGAAGTTCCCTCCCTATCTTCCCAAGGTGCCTCAGCCTGCAAGGACCCTGTCCAGGCCCTCAGCCGGTCCTGCAGGACACAAACCCTGGAGGTCCTGCAACCTGTGGTCTGAGGGGCCTACTTCTGGGCACTGGTCCCTCGCGAGGTGCTGAGAAGTTGTGGGACAAGGAACCACCGGCAGGAGGTCTCAGGGCTGTGATGGGAGGAGGAGGGGATGTGCCGGCCTGAGATTCAGAATATCAGAAGGGACGTGGCCTCAGCAGGGCGGCCCAGGGGAGCAGAGGGCAGACAGAGCAGGGATCATTTCTGCTACCTCCCCACCCTCCAGTCTCTCCAGCATCGCCCACTGCTGACCCTGCGGGGAGCCGCGGAGCCGGGAGACGCGGTCTCGGGGGCAGCACAGAGCAGGGGAAGGACATGGGACCTCAGGCTTGTCCCCACCCTGAATCTCGCAGTAGGGCAGGGCTGGCCCAGGCAGACATCAGTCGCAGTGAGTGGAGGTGGCCAACACAGGGTGTCATGTTTGGGGGGTGCTGTAGCTGGGGCTGGGCTTCTAGGTGGGTTCAGTGGTAAAGAATCTGCTTGCCAATGCAAGAGACGTGGGTCCGATCCCTGGGTAGAGAAGATCCCCTGGAGGACCATGGAGGGCATGGAAACCCACTCCAGTGTTCTTACCTGGAGAATCTCATAGACAGAGGAGTCTGGCCGGCTACAGTCCGTGGGGTTGCAAAGAGTCAGACACAACTGAGCAAATAACAACTAGCTAGGGCTGGCTGGCTTCGAGGCCCAGCAGGAGATAGCAGGAGTGGGGAACCCAAGTCAGAAGCCGGAGAGCAAGGGACATGGGGGTCTCCCAGGGGTGCAGCTCAGCACTATTTCCAACCTCTGTGCAGGAACTGTGCATGAGGAGCCGGGGCAGCGCAGGGTGGGGGGAGCACAGAGATGGGTTCCCCACGTCCAGCATCTGAGGTGCAGCCTCCACCGGCCCAGTGCGGGGCGGGGGGAGGGCAGAGATGGGTTCCCCACGTCCGGCACCCGAGGTGCAGCCTCCACCGGCCCAGTGTGGGGCGGGGGGAGCGCAGAGATGGGTTCCCCACTTCCAGCATCTGAGGTGCAGCCTCCACCGGCCCAGTGCGGGGCGGGGGGAGGGCAGAGGTGGGTTCCCCACGTCCAGCATCCGAGGTGCAGCCTCCACCGGCCCAGTGTGGGGCGGGGGGAGGGCAGAGGTGGGTTCCCCACGTCTGGGACCCGACGAGCAGCCTCCACTGGCCCAGGCTCTGCAACACTCGGGTCGCAGACAGCAGTGTCCTCGGGACACCAGAGAGTGAGCCAGGGGCAGGCTGGACGGCCCTAATGCACAAAGCCAGGCTGGCGGGCAGCTGGGGGGGTGGTGGTGGTGAGGATGAGACATGCAGAGACTGACGTCCGGACAGTTTCATCGCACTGCTCTACCTCGTTACATGTAGTTTTTGTTCAGTGTATGGTGAGAAACATCAAATTCCCAAGTACTTTAGTGATTATACTTAATATGTGACACTTTCTTTAAAAAGACACTAGTTGAAGTAACAAGAGTGAGTTTAAAATAACACACTACATACAGGAACGTGGAAAACCTTCCAAGTTGGCATAGGAAGGACCAGAGGTCAGGACTGAGTGTCTGAATGTCCAACCAGACATCACTGCATGGGGTGGGCTAAGCTGTGGAAGCTGGCCCCTGAGCAGGCAGGAGGATCTCTCCACCCTGCGGAGCAGATATAACAAACACAGCAGCTGCCCAATCAGTGAGAAACCTCTAAAGAGGTATTCTCAGA